GAGAGCATCTAAGGGGTCTTTTGTTCTACGGATGGTGAATCCAACCTCTGTAAGTCATTTGATGGAGTTACACTTCCAGCTCTCAAGCAGCACTCTCCAGAAGACTCCCCTGCATAAGCAGTCAGGGGGGTGTGAGTGTTGCCTTACATGACATATTTATCTGCTATAAAATGTCATGCCTTAGACATCAATCATAGCTCAGTCCAGTAAGACCTCGATTAAGCAGTGGGTGGCTTACGGGTTTCCCTTCTCTACGATAGTAACTGCTGCCCAGAGCATCACCTCTGAGTCCAGCCACGTCATTTCATGCATTTCAGTCCAGACCAGTCCTGGAATATCGACCGAGCCCCTGCTCCCTTTTCTTCTGCCTCTTCTTCCATCTGTTGATTTTCTGCTCTTCTTTCCAGGTGGAGATCAGAAATCACCCTTTCTGGGACAGTTTTGTTTCTATGAAGTCGACCTGATCCTAACATTCTCACACCCAATCTGCCTGAGCATGTGGGCTCTGCTTTTCACTGCTCTGTGTCAATCCCTCATTGTCACGTGCTATTCGGTATGTGTTTTCTGGCTCCTACCTGCCCGGTGTCTAGGTCATGCAGGCCTTGGCCCCACCCACTCACATCCTCAAGTCCTTAGGTGTTGCTGCCCCCCCCCCCCCCCCCCCCGAGCCTGCAGGGCCAGCAGAGCTGCAGCAAAGCAGGCGTCTGGCCCGTGTGGCTGTGCTTGCCCCTCTGGGTGCAGGAGCTTCTGAGCAGAGGCCCTGCCTACTCTCCTGGGTACACAGGAACTTGTTGAACTTCTTCAACGCACTCTTGAATTCTTTTTTTTTTTTTTTTCCTTTTAGATGAGACCCACAGGTAGTTTCATTTCTGGATGCAAAGAGTATTTATAGTGTTGGTGTTGGTGGTGTGTTTATTCCTCATTCTGCCTCTCTAGTCAATAGCATTTGTGCTTCCCATAACAAAATGCCATACATAGACAGAGTGGCTTGCAAACAATGAGAAATTTATCTCTTAAAGTTCCTGAGGCTGCAAGTCCAAGGTCAGGGTGCCAGCGTGGGCGGTGAGGGCCTCCTGTGTGGTAGACGTCTCATATCCTCACATGAGGAAAGGGGTTCAGGGAGCCCTCTGGGTCTTTTATTGGAAGCCTGTAGCATTCATGAGGGCTCCATCCTAATCATTTCCCAAAGCCCCATCTCCTAATATCATCTTGTTTGGAGTTAGGATTTCGGTATATGAACTTAGGGAGATGCAAACATTCAGATCATCACAGGAGCGGGACCACATGACAGCTCCAAGGCAAGGGGCCGCTGGACCAGTCCAGTCCCTGAAACCCAGGTTGAGCTGCTCCTTCAGATGATCTGAGGAAGAGGAAACTGGGAGGATGAAAGTCACTCACTGCTCTCAGGACCAGGGCGAGACAGGTCCTTTAGAGCCAGGCGGGGAGCTCTGTTGAGAACACCACTGCTCTGGGCCTTGAATTTGGCTAGCACTTACCCATGGTTTCCAGTTTTTGTTATATTTGTTTAGCTATTGTGAGCAAGCATTTCTTTTCATTGCATATGTTAAATGGATTTTGGAAAAAAAATATCATATACCTAATTACTGCTAACTGCATGTTATCCATTTTATTTTTAAAAAAGATTTATTTTATTTATTTATACATTCAAAAGTTGGGATATAGACCAGAGGTTCAGGAGGGTGGGGGTGTGTGAGAGGATTCACCAGAGACATAGTGGGGAGCAGAACAGGCAGATCTACTGAAATACACTGCTGAGGGGAGCAGTAGGGAGACAGGAGAGGTCTGCTGGGTCACCTCTCTGGCCAGGGATCGAACTCATGCTGCAGTGGCTGTGGATACCTTCATAGTGCTGAGACTTAAACCCTTGCACCACAAGGGAGGCCCATGTTACCCATTTTAAAACACTAATTTTCTGAGGTTTTCTAGGACTGGAATATCTGTGAACAATGACAGATTTTATCCTCCTTCCCAACGAAGGAGTTAAAGTTCTTATTTTTGCTAACAGTTTTGTTACACTGATTAGAACTTCTAGAGCAATGTTAGATAATAAATGAGATAATGGGCTTATGGAGATCTGACTTTGTTCTTGATTGAGTAAGATGGCATCTAGGACAGTTACGTATCCTGTAACCTGCTGATTTGAGATAAACTGTTCTTAATCAAGTTAAGCATGTGTTCTTTTATTCCTAAATGGTTTTTTAAAAAATCAAACAAACCAGAAATGAATATTGACTTCTATTGGATTGAATTTGAAAATATTTTCCTTGGAATAACATATTGTGACGTAAGTTAGTATTTACCAGGACTCTATTTGTCATCATTCCCTCATAAGAAACAGCAAATTCAAAGGTTAGTTGATGGTGTGGGATTTCTAATTGGAAATCAGAAATTTTCTAACTTAAAGTTCTGAGGGTAGAACAGGATTTCTCAGGAAGATCCAATCCTGAAGAAGGGACAGCAAGTAGGACTGCTGAGAGGAAGCGAGAAATTGCTGGTTGCCATTTATGTAAAACTTTCAAGGAAGTTTTTTATTTATTGCTAGTAGTTAAAGAGCTATAAAGTCATTTAATCGTAAGATTGCCGCACAGAACTCTACTACAGCTGATTAAAATCTTTAAAAATTTTTCTTCTTTCTTTTTTTTTTTTGTGTGTGGGACCCTCGCCCGGTGGCCAGGGATCGAACTGGCACTGCAGAGGCTGCGGGCAGCCTCGAAACCCAGTGCTCAGCCGCTGCCCACCAGGGGAGGCCCAAAATCTTTAAAAATTTTTCTATAGGGAGAGATCTTACCACTTTCGCCACTGATACTATCTATTGTTTTCGTACTTAATCTGGAAATTCTTCCTAACATCTGATCTGAGTCTTTCTTACTGAGAGATAGGCCAACCTTTCCCCATATACTTTATTTTATTTTTAAAAAGATTTATTTATTTATACAAGAACTGGGGTACAGGCCAGAGGTGTGGGGGGTTGAGAGGATTCACCAGAGACAGAGTGGGGAACAGAACAGGCAGACTGACTGAAATACACTGCTGCGGGGAGCAGCAGGTGAAACAGGAGAGGTCTGCTGCCCCATATGGGTATCTCCCTGGCCAGCCAGGGATCGAACCCGCGATGCAGAGGCTGCGGACAACTTCACAGCGCTGTGCTCAACCTGCTGCGCCACTGGGGACACCCATACTTTATTTTAAAAAAGAAAAGACATTATCCTACAAAATAAATGCAAGAATCCATAAAGAACATCCCACTAAAATTCACTTGGCCACCTGAGTGTATTCCACTGTCTCAGAGACATCAGGATTCACAAAAGTCCAGATGTTGGGCTTGCGAATTTGGGGGTTGACATTGACATAATCTTTGGCTTCTTTTATGTTTTCATAGTCCAGTGCAGTTTCATTTTTCAGTCCTCCAGGGTCTGGAAAGACCACTTGTGTATAATTCATATCTTTGTTGGCCTTATAGGAAAAAGCAGAGAAATGTGGGTCAAGACCCCTATCATGTTAGGGAAGGTAGATCCAAGACTGAATTCGCACTCAAAAGGCTCACCCAAGTCTGATGGGGAAGAGCCTGGGGTCCAGTTAGCTGTGTCTGGGAGTAGGGCCAGGACAACTGGCAGAAGTCTCCCATAAGTTTGTTCTTGTCTATAAGGAATGAATGGGCTTAAGGAAGGAAGGATGAGGACATGGAATCCATGTGAGCTCAGGACTCAGAGCAGACTTGGCCCAGTGACGTAAAGGAGACAGGTGCTTTCCCATTAGCACTTTCATTTTACAACCTACCCACTGACCCATTTTGTTGGATGATCAATGCTAATGTGGGCCTGTGAGTGAAAACCTGACCACCTGCTCCTAAGGATGCTGTAATGGCCTAAGAAGATCCTCCCTCCTTGCTCCCATCTCTGTAGCTTGGATGGCTCCCATCTCTGCAGCTGGGTTTTACAGCAGGGACCTCAGACTGCATATGGAGGGCTGGGGTCACTAGGATGACCATTACCTGATGGCTGGGCGGTGAGCTGCCAGAGCTGCTGGAGCTGCTAGAGCTGTCTGAGGATGTGTCGCTGCCATCTGGGGAGAAATAGAAATTGTTCTTCTAAAGATAGTCAGATAGTGCTAGGAGAGAATAGAGAAAATGAAAGAAAGAAAGAGACAAAGACAGAGCCAGCAAACAAAGAGGACTGGGGAAGACAAGTACAAAGCTCCCAATAAGGAAAGCAGGAATAAATCAGGAAAGGGGTAATGGGAAAGAGACCTCCCAAAATAACAGGGAACATATCTAAGAGTGCAGGTGCTGCTGTTTCACCCAGCTCTGTAGAAACGAATAACAAACTCACCAGGCTTGACTGTGCTTGGGAGAGAAAGCAGGGGTGTGCAGAAAATAAGTAGCCTAATGCAGACAGCTCTGGACATAGGTTCTAGTCCAAACCAGCCAATAGTTCGAGGCCTAGCACATCCCTTCTTATGCCCTGGTTTTATCCCTTTTAGAACCAGGGATGACAATCTCTGAGGCCCCTGCCCACCAGAGTCTGGGATTCTGGCCAGGATCTGGTTTAGCTCTGGGGTTAGGGGCTGGGAGGTGCCACTCCCCTCTGCTGACACACCAAATTCTTGTGTGTGGTGGGGTCTGGTTTCTACAGCACTGAGGCCTCATCTTAGTGCCCAGTAAGCCTGAAAGCAAGGTTTTCCAACTGAAAAGACTAAGTTCAAAGGATAGAGCAAATCAATTGACAAAAGTTCATGAAAAAAGTGCCATCTCTGGTGAGAAGTCTTCAGGGGACATTGTCTTGCTGTGGAAGTGGCAATGTCCATTATGCAAAGAATGATCTGTGGGTCTCAAGCCCTGAGGTAGAAAGCAAGGGGATGGAGTTACTATTGTTCACTCTCCAGGGGCAGGTATGGGTTGGAGCCATCACTAAATTCATATTAATTAAAATACTCAGGGCTGCTCACTCAAATTGAAGCCTGAGCAGATCACAGAGGTCCCACCCACCGGCCCAGCAATCCCATCAGGCCCCACGACCCTGCTCCTCAACTGGACCACCTCTGGGGGAGGTACCTACTGTATGCACAAGAATAGTGGGAGCAGAAAACCCACACCCTACAAAGGCCCCAACTATAGCAGAGCAAAGCCAAAATAAGCAACGGCAAGAGAGAAAAAGTACAAATGGACAAGCAGATCTTCAGAGGAACAGTTTACCACAAAGAGAAAACAAAACTCCACAACCAAATTACAGAGACATGGAAAAGCTTCTTTACCTATGACACAGAATTCATAATTGCCATGATAAAGAAAATTAAAGAATTGGAACAATACATAGAAAACTCAGAAAAATAGTTTAGAAATATGCAAGAAACATCATAAGAGTAAATGAACATATGAGAAACACAATCAAGGAACAAAAGATAAAAAAGTAAAAGCAAAACTTTAAATAAATTAATTGGTCTGTAGGATGTAGGAAGATCAACGATGGAGATGAAAAATTTTAGAGAAAGCCAAGTAAGCAGAATCAACCAAATGGAAGAATGAATCAGTGGGCTCAAAGATACAAATGAGGAAATAATCAAAATAGAGAAAGAAAGTTACAAAGAGGAGAAAAATGAAACAATACTGTAAGAATTATCTGACACCACTAGGAAAGAAAATATCGGAATAATAGGCATCCCAGGAGAAAGAAGGGAACTGAAACATTATTTAATAAAGCAATAAAAGAAAACTTCCCAAACTTGAAGAAGGAAATGAACATACAAATATGGGATGCTAAAAGAGCACCAAGTTATCTAAAGAAAAGGAAAACTACAGCAAGATATATAGTAGCAACACTTCTGAAGATCCAAGACAAAAATAATGAAGCTGATGAGGGGGAATAAACAGATAACCTATAAAGGACACATCAGACTTCTCTGAAGAAACACTACAAGCAAGAGAATGGAGGGCCTCCCTAGTGGCCTAGGGGTTAAGTCTCAGTGTTATCCCTGAGATCCATCTCTGCCCAGGATGCTGACCCACATGGTGCAGCAGACCTCTCCTGTCTCGCACGCTGCTTCCCTTATCTGTGTATTTCAGTAGATCTGCCTGTTCTGCTCCCCACTCCGTCTCTGGTGAATCCTCTTTTATATATATATATATTTTTACATCAGTTTTCATTTTTGTACAATGTATGCATTTTCTTGTTGGTTATATTACCCATACAATTCCTCCTACCCTTATTTTGACGCTAATCCTTCCTTCCCTCCCCCCTTCTGTAGTGTGTCTCTGGTTTATAGTTGCTTGTTGGTTTTGATTTTGATTTTATTATAATTAGTCTTTTTCCTGGTCCCTTATTTAGGTTTTCTAAATTCCTGCTATGAGTGAGACCATCCGGTATTTTTCTTTTTCTTTCTGGCTTATTTCACTGAGCATGATCCCTTCCAGCTCCACCTGTGATGCTACAAATTGCATGAGTTTATCTTTTTGATTGCTGAGTAATATTCCATTGTGTATATGTATCTGGTGAGTCCTCTTAACCCCCGTACTTCTGGCCTACACCCCAGTTCTTCTATGAAAAAAAAAGAAGAAAAAAAGAGAATGGAATGATATTTAAACACTCAGATACATGGCGGAGGCAGGCAGAGGCAGTGGATATCTTGGCCACAATATTATAAAGGCAAGAGCAGGGACAGTCCCCAAGCCCCCTGCAGTCATTCATGCATGACCAAACCCAGAAAAGAACTCACACCTACACTAACCCAAGCGGATCTGCCCTGCATGATGGTGTGAACACCTTTTTGAAATAGGTAGGTGAATGAGGCCTTTACTGAAGCGGGTGTAAGGAATCCTCAGACTAGCAGTTTGGACAGGGGGCGGAGGGAGGGATAGAGGAGCTGTGGCAGGGAGCTCCCTGGGGTCCAGGCAGAGCAGATAAGCTTTATGACAAGTTATCCCCACCCCATCACTCACGCCTGTAGTGCAGATCAGACACAAGGGCGCTTCTTTCTGCCAGAGTCACTTTCGGCTCCTGGGTAGCTGGTGAGGGATGGTGGTCAGGACTGGGACGGGAGTCCTGGGATCTGACCTCTTTCAATATTCTCTCACTGTGCCTGGCTAGAGGGGACAGGGACAGGTTGAAGGCAAGGGCTTGCTGGGGCAGGCACACCCTATCTCTGAGCACAGCCCTCATCGGGTTCTTCCCAGGAGCTCTCCAAATCTCCACACAGCCCTGCTCAAACCCAGCATGCCTGCCTTCGTTGGAGTAAAGCCAAAGCTCCAGTGAGGCCTGCCTAGGCCTCACTCCACCTCCTCTGCCTCCTTGCTCCTGCTGATTCCTCGGGGCCAGTCACTCAGTCTCTGCTCATGCTGCTTCTGGGCCACTCTCCTGCCCTGGGGCCTGTGAGGTGCAGCTCACGTCCTGCAGGTTTATGCCCAGATGTCAGCAGCATCTCAGGGATGCCGGCTGCCCTCTAGTTCTCATCTTTTGGCCTTGCTTCATTCTCCCCTCCCTGGTGGTTACCATAATCTTACACATGTGAGTTTTACTTCTTCGTCTGGTGCATTGTGCCTCCCACAGAATATAAGTTACACAGGGCAGGGATTTTGCTCTGTTGCGTGTTAATTGAAAGAATGAATGATTAAGGAAATCTAGACTTCCTTCATGAGATCAAGCTTCAAAACACCATCCTGCCCAGTCCCCTGTCTTAGCACAGGTAAAAGGTGTAGTTTTATCCTCCCTCGTAACACAGAGATTTTGTACTTTCCCTGTAAATCAATTAGAGAGTTTAAGCTGATCTCTTACTCTAAACACTCCCTTCTGTAGCAATTCAAGGCCACTTCTTCACATGCAATTCTTGGAGGGGATGAAGAAATTTAACCACGCCAGGTGACATGAGCCCCCTCTCAAGCACTGCAGAGCCTGCTCTCTGGACACAGGTCTGGGCAGTGAAAGGACTCTGGCTTATCATTCTCAACCAGAAATAGCCTGGGCCAAAGAAATAGCCCAGTTAGAGGTTGGCAGGGTGAAGGAGGATCTGGCCAGTAGATCCTTTAGTAGGTTTTCAAGTGACATTGGGGGGCTGCAAGGGGCTTTTCTGCTATAGACTTGGGACTAGTTCCCAGGGGTACAAAGGAGGGGAGGGGTTGCTGAGCTGGTTACCCAGGCGCCGGCTGAACAGGCAATAGAGGGCTGCCAGGAGGCTGGCCTGCAGGAAGAGGGACACAGCCGCGATCACCACGCCATGCCAGGGCTCCAAACAGTTGCTGGGAAAGAAAGCCAGAGTCAGAGGGGACAGCGATGCTAATGCAGGGCAAGCCCATCCTGCCCCAGCCAGAGCAGCTACCAGGGTTCCAGGAGTCTCAGGACAGGCCCTGTGCTTCTCTTGGTAGTGCAGCAGGGAGGGGTGTGCCCCTTGGAAGTCAGAGACACCAACCAGCCTCCTGGAAGCTGCTCTGGCTCTTCTTGGCCACTTACAGTGTCTGCATCCTGTTCTCTGGCAGGACAGTTGAGGCTGAGGTGGTGAGTGAGCCCATGCTCCTTGGGGGCAGTAGGGAGAGACTTGGGAGGAACTACCAGGACCTTGTCTCCACGTGCTGCCGTCAGGATGCTCCCAGGACCTGCAGGAGGCAACGCAGCTGGTCAGCACCCAGGACTTTGTGGGCAAACTCAGCTGCTTAGAGGTCATCTGCTTTCCTTACTTTAGATCTCAGTCTTGGAATCTATAAAACAACAGTAACAGAATCACTACTTGACAGCCATGGACACGCATGTGTGGTGCCAGCAACAGCCAAGCCTCTGGCACTCCTGCCATCTCGCCAGATCCCCAACCCTGTGACTTAGTGGTCACTACCCTCCATCTATATGCTTGATGTGGGGTTCAGAGAGCCGAGGCACATGTCTGAGGTGACAAATACTGGTGGCAAGTGATGGGCCTGGAGTTGAGCTTCAAGTCTGCATCTGCCCACTCAGCTGGGGGCACCTGCTGCTTGGCTGGAGAAATGCATGGGGATTCTTTGAAGAAGCCTAGCTTTTACACACATGTGCACGCACGCACACACACACACCCCCACACACACACCCTGCATGACATCATTGGGTTTTATAGTATCTGTGGATACTGTTATACCCGCATGAATGTTTGCTTTAAAAAATCAGCTTATTCCATCCGCATTTTGTGGAATATGGAGTCACCATAAGACTAAGGCAGGATAATTCCAAAGTCTTTGAAATGATATTTACTGAGATGGGATCACTTAACTACCAATGTCCACCAGTAGATTGTAAACTTTCACTGCTGTTAAGGCTTACTTTTCCAGTCAGGGTTTCCAAGTGATAAGGGCAATGTGGAAAGACCTGCAAATGCTATTTGTAGTTCTCACCATGGAGCCTTTTAAGACCAAGACTTGGACCAAGAGTCCAAAGAAAGAGAAAGCAGTGAGGGTCAGGGCTGACCACAGCTCTCCAGGTCTGCGGCGTTGACCAACTGGCGACTTCTAGAAAGGAAATACCACCATCTCCCCCACACCCTTCACATATCAACATGTCAGTCGTCAGAGTGACTGTTCTACGTCAGGTCAAATTTGGAGGCAACACAGGCCAATTTACTCGTCACCTTGCTTAAGTCCCCTCTTTCCTATGTAGTCAGTTCTACACAGTTCTCCCGAAAGAACCTACCTCCATCTACCTTTGCTTTTCACATTAAATGAGCAAAGTACATCTGACATATCAGTCCCAAAGAGTTCTATTCTGTTTGACCTATAAAGATGGAGCCAGGATCCAAACGTGGGTTCTGAATTTGTATGATCCAGCAAGTGAGGTCCGGGAAGCAGGACTGTTAAATAGAACCCCCTTCCCCTCTGCCTCTGAGCCCTCCCTATGTCCCACCCCAGCAGTACCCAAAATGACCACAAGGTGGCCCTGTGAGTACCAGGGCAGCTGGGGCTCCTGCAGGAGAGCTGCCATCAGTTCATTTTGCTGCTGGTGGGAAGGGGCACAGAAAGGCAGGCAGTGGACTCTGCCACAGAAGCAGGTGAGAAAGGACTCCAGGATATGACCCATCTCTCACACCCCTCCCCGCAGGTTTATAGGCAAATGGATAGAAAAGCCGAGGCCCCCTGATGAGTAGCAAGCTCCAGAAGGAAAATGTAATCGAAAGTACTCATGTACAAAATTAGAATTGCAGAACCAAGATGCTGGAAATAAAACATAAAAAATGACTGAGATAGGCTAGCAGAGGATTTTTCGGAAATTAAAATCATCTTGAAGGATTTGATGATTTGAGAAAAGAATATAGATATTTATTAAAAGCCCTCTCTTATTTTGGATAAACCCTTCTAAGATTTCAGTATAGACACTGATTTTCAAGCAAGTTTCAGGAACAGTTTTGATTTCTGGGGCAGCTGCAAAAGGAAGAATGGACTTTGCAGGAAAACTTTTTGCATCATAAAAGACATGGAAATTTTGAGAAAGGGCTAGAAGCTAGGCTAGTGTGTCTGGAAATCAACAGTGTTGTTCCATTATTAGAGGTACTTTAGTACTGACGACCTCACACTGAATGTCTCACTCTCCTCAACTACAAAGTTTTTCCCTTCTCCATCGAGGGGTGACCGGTATCCTGCCAGGTCTGTGTTCTGGTCCCATGCTCCAAGTTTTCATTTCTAAAGGTTGTTCTATCCTTTCATCTTCTGAAAATTAAATAACTAACAGATACTTATAGTACAATAGAAGAATTAAAAATACAAATAAGTAAAGCATTTTACAAAATCACCCCAAATTTTATTCCCATAAAATTTTCTATACATTTTCATAAATATATGTAGTCTATATATGTGTATAAATATGTGTATACACATATATAAACTTCTAAGGACCTAGGATTAGCCTGATTAGCAAGTTTTTCTCTTCACTTGAGATATCATAAACATGTTTTCATGTTAAAAATAACACCTCTGTTAAATAGCCCAAATCTGGGATTCACCAGTCAAATGCAGCACCTAGATGATTATTTCTGCTGATGTGCTTTAAAGATTTGGGATTTCCTAAGATGGACCATGCTTGAGCTTGCAGCCTTGAGGTTTACAGCATTGTTTTATTTTATTTTTAAAGATTTATTTATTCATGCATACAAGAGCTGGGGTGTAGGCCAGAGATGTGGAGGGTGAGAGGATTCACCAGAGACAGAGTGGGGAGCAGAACAGTTGGATCTGCTGAAATACACTGCTGAGGGGAGAAGCAGGTGAGACAAGAGAGGTCTGCTGCGCTATGGGGGTCAGCTCCCTGGCTGGGGATCAAACTCATGATGCTGCAGTAGCTGGCAATAGCTTGATAGCGCTGTGTCTTTAACCCCTGTGCCATCAGGGAGGCCCCCAGCATCATTTTAAATTGCTAATTTTCTACTTTATCAATGTTTCTTAGCAGGACTTGACATTTGGAACCAGACAATTCCTAGTTGTCCAGAACTTTCTTGCATACACTGGGCACTTGGCATCCTGGGAGACCACCAATGCAACAGTTCAGTGTAACAATCAAAATGACCCAAACTGACCCCACACATATCTACCCCCTGAGTTGGCACTTTTGCCCCCAGTTGAGAATCTCTGCATTAATTACATGCTCCATTACTGTAAAGCCAGTATCTTAATTTGACTCTTTATACAAAACTCTCTTGCCCACATTTTCTTCCATCATTTTAATGTTCTGAGCATTTACTAGCCAAATAGCACATGGTCCCTGGCTTGGAGAAAGCATAACAATCAAAAGGCCTAACTACAGTCTCCAGTTCTCTTGGCTTCTAGATGTGAATTATGGACCTCCGTGCCCCATTTTCTATACCTGTGAACCAGAAAGAGTGTAGGTGTATGTAGGGTAAAAAATATCAGGCTTTTCTGCCCTTCCGCCATCAGGATAGATGATGGATCCTTGTCCTGAATGCATGCCTGATGGTGGGCACCTGGAATAGGGTGTGGGCATAGGTAGATGGGATTCAGCTGAGCTAAGACTGTGCTTTTAAGGGCGGCGTCACGGGGGGACGCTAGCAGCCCCAGCCAGCAGCAGCAGAACCTGAAGGAGAAGCCGAAGCAGAAGCAGAGAACGCCAGAGAGCCCAGATAGAGTGAGGACTTGCTGGGGGCTGGGAGGCCTGCCAGCCTCCCAGCCCCCAGCCAGCACCCCTGCCTGCCATATGCCTGGTGAACCCCAAATAAAAAACCTGCAAAACTACTGAGGACTCTGACTCCTCCTTTACCCGATCTGCATGGGATCAGAAAACCTGCACTGTGTCCAGTCCTGCCCCTACAATTGGCGTAGTCGGCAGGATCCATGCAGACGGGTATTGGAGCCCTCCGAAGACCTGGAGGGACTAAGGAGAACAGACTTTGCCTGTGACGACGCTGGAGGCACCATGGCGGTATAGAAGATGGATACGTCCACGAGCTACAGGATGAGACCTGGCGTGAAGGAGACGCCCGAAAGGACCAGCCAACGACACCGGAAAGGACCAGCCAACGACACCGGATAGGACCAGCCAACGACACCGGAAAGGACCAGCCAATGACCCCTGAGGCAGCAGGCCATTGCTGAAGCAGGGAGAGGCCAATGGACTGATAGACTGATGAACTGATGATTTTGGACTGACAATCCCGCCAGAAGTCGGAGGACCTTGCAGGTTGATATGTTTTGGGACCCTGGGGATGGAACAGTTTTGTTTGTAAACCCCAGGAGATGGGAATCTAGGGTGGCCAGTGGGCCTAGATGGCCAAAAGCAGCCTGTGTATGCCCAGCAGCCAGGTGGAGGAGAAAAGCCAACTAAGAAAGCAAAAGCTGGTACTGATGATAAGTTGAGAAGCCCTGAGCTGCTGTTAAGCAGCCTGGGTATGCTGAAGCCCTGTGAGAATCGTAAAATCACCTGTGGGTGATGCCCTGCTCATTCTTGAGCGAGGGTGAGGAGCTGAGGAACCTGTCCTTAGGGGACGGGTGGGGAATGTGGCTTGGGGTGGAGCCCAAGCCGAATGCAGAGTTTGGATCCCCGACCCATGTGATTGTGCAGTGGGTTGGCTTGAGAGCAGGGGTCTGCGAGTCGCATGGGTGGCCATGAAGGCCGAGTGTTGGAGCGACTGCAGACAGAAACCCTGAGGGTTGGCGATTACCCCAACAGAATAAAATTGCCAATCCCAGAGCTAGTGCATCCTGGGGGTGGATGCTGTGTGTGCCTTGTAGCCGAGACTACAGCCAGAGAAGGCCAGGAAGCCTGACGGCTCCTGGTGTGTTATAGCAGATGCCGTGTGTGATTTCCCCTCCCTCGTATGAGCAGTGCCTTCAGCAGCAGATTTGGTGGCTCATCTGCTGGTACCAATAATTGTCTTTTGCGCTAGGTTGGGGCCCTGCCTGGACTTATTTGTGTTCTGTTGTATTTTGTTATATTGTATTTTATATTTGATGTATTTGCTTTTGTGGGCCATGGCTGCATTGTTTGTTTGCTTAGAAAATTGTGTATATATGTATAG